GCTTCTGTGCGTTGAGTTTCACCGGGAAAATTGTGCTATTCCAGGAAGCCATGCCATCCTCCTTTCTTTCCCTAAGCTCTTGGAGCAGGTATGTTTTTGTAGCTGTTGGCAATGTAGCCTTTCCCTTTGCACAACCTCAGGAGTGATTTAAGCCTCCACGTGTGTGTGCACACAAATGTTGTTTAGAGGGTCGGGAGTGGGAGGCAGGATGAAAAGGAAGGCATAATAAAGGATGGCGATGAATTGAGTTCAGAGTCGGCTGAGAAATACTTTGGGTCCCATGGAGGATTCCAGAAGCCCCATGTTATGGGCTTAAGAGGCCATTGGCCAAGACTGAGGCCCAACAGGCTTTAGCTGGAACAACAGCTGGAGCAACCCCTTTCCCCAGTGTGCCGGGGGGGTTTCCTTCTTGCTCCCCCCCATACCCCACCCCTTTAATTAAACAAATTTAAAGTAGGGCACACGGGTCTTCAAGAAAATTGTTAAACAACTAGAAGAACAGATGTTATCGCCTGAAAAGGAAGTATTTGTTTTGGTGAAGTAAATTTGTGTATTTGTGTGGCCAGAGCGAATTCTCAGCAGATTTTGTGTTCTGCTTCTCCAGGAACATAATTGTTTTCTCTGTGTGGAATTATTGCTCATTCCTGGGGAGATTCAGTTGTTCACTTGTATTACTTTGCTGGGGCTGCCGTAACATAGCATCGCAGACTGGGTGGTTTAAACAACAGAAATTTATTTTCTTACAGTTCTGGAGGCTAGAAATTCAAGATCACGGTACCTAGTCCCCTCCACCCACATGCACCCCCTTGTCCACAGTTTCACTTCCTGTGGTTTCAGTTAGCCGAGGTCAAACCACAGAAGCAGATGATCCTCTGCTGTGAGGTGAGCAGTAGCCTAAAGTTACAGCACAGCGCCTACGTCATTCAGCTCAGTCCATCTGACCGACTTGCGAAGGCGTTTTATATCGCATACCCTCACAAGAAGAAGAGAGGTGAGTGCTGCACAATAAGATATTTTGAGAGAGAGAGACCACATTCATTTTTTTATTATGGCATATTGTTATAACCATTCTATTTTATTATTAGTTATTGTTAACCTTTTATTGTGCCTAATTTCTAAATTAAACTTTATCAGAGGTATGTACGTATAGGAAAAAAACAGTATATATAGGGTTCAGTGCTATTCATTGTTGTAGACATCCACTGGGGGTCTTGGAACGTATTGCCCACAGATAAGGGAGGACTACTGTATTGGCAGAGTGATTTCTTTTGAGGCCTCTCTGTTGGCTTACAGATGGTCACTTCCTCTGTTTTCATACAGTCTTTCCTTTCTGTGTGTCTGTGTCCTATTGCCTTTTTTTTTTTTTTTAATTAAGTAGATTCCACGCCCAGCATGGAGCCCAAAGCAGGGCTTGAGATCACAACCCAGAGATCAAGACCTGAGCTGAGATCAAGAGTCAGATGCTTCACCAACTGAGCCACCCAGGTGCCCCCTAATTTCCTTTTTTATAAGGACACAAGTCATATTGGAATTAGGGCCCATCTTCATGACTTCATTTTAAATTAATTTCCTCTCTAAAAGCTCTATCTCCAAATACAGTCACATTCTAAGGTACTGGGGGTTAGGACAAGACATGAATTTTGGGAGACACAATTCAGCTCTTAACATCACCTGGTCTATGTAGGAAGAAAAAAACACAAATGAATTGGACTACACTCCTGGCATCTCCATCTAAACAATGAGAAATATAATTGATATTCCCATCCAATAAATGGTGATGTTATTAGTGACCAAAATGTACTGATGTTATATCACTGTATTCTGAAGTAATTCTGTTGAGCAAGAAGATGTTGCTATGGGCAAAGTTTGGGGGTTCACCTGAAGAGATTGAACATTCTCACTGTCAGTCATCTGGAGATGTGCTTTTTGTAGAACAGGCATAGAACTCAGGGAAGCAAACCATAGATTAGGAGAGTCTCAAGAGAAATGGGTCTGATGTCCAAGACATAGACAGATTCGCCATACTCTCAGCGCTGGGATAAGTCAGCCCCTGCTACAAGGACGAAGCCATGTAGCATTTTTGCTGGTTATGCCACTGATCAATAGGGCTTGGTGGCAGCTTCCATTTAACCAGTGGGATTAATATTCACCACCCACATTTGCCCAGTTGCTGGCTTGGGGCAGGCAGGGGTGAGGGGTCTTGGACCACAGGAACGCCAAGCCCATTGCTTGATTTTCATCCACTTTACAAGGCAACAGTTTATTATTTTTTTTCTTTTTTTAATGTTTAATTGTGATAAAATCATACAACCTAAAATGTACTATTGTAACCATTTTTAGGTGTGCAATTCAGTAGTATTAAGTACATTCACATTTTTGTGCAACCAAGCCTCAGGTTCTTTTTATCTTGCAAAACTGAAACTCTGTACCCATTAAACAACTCCCCATCCTCCTGTCCCCTCAGCCCCTAGCAACCACCGTTCTGCTGTCTGTCTATAGGAATATGACTACTCTAGGTACCTCATGGAAGTGGAATTGGACAGTATTCATCTTTTTGCAACTATCTTATTTGACTTAGCATAATATCCTCAAGGTGGTGGTAGCATGTGTCAGAATTTCCTTCCTTTAAAGCTAAAGAATATTCTCTTGTATGTAAACACCACATTTTGTTTATCTATTCATCCATTGTTGGGCATTTATGTGGTTTCCCCCTGTTGGCCCCTGTGAATAATGCTATGAACATGGGTTGAGACACTGCTCTCCATTACTTTAGCTATGTACCCCCAAATAGAATTGCTGGACCAATATGGTAACTCTGTTTTTGTTTAAGGATCTTTATTTTTAAACCAGGTAATATATTCACTTGGTTCAAAAATCGAAATGATATCAAATGCTTTACACTGGGAAATCTTAATAATCCATGCGTTTTCATCATCACAACCACCAACTGTAGCTAACCACATATATCATTTTTTATATTCTTCAAATATGTGTATATGTCCTTGTTTTCTAAGGCCACAGGTAGCTGTGGCGAGCAGGATTTTGGCCCCCATGATCTTCACCCCCTGTATCTGTGAATATGTTTCATTACACAGCAAAATGGACATGGCAGAGGGAATTAAGGTCATGGGGCCTAAAATAAGGAGGTTATCTTGGATTACAGAAGTGAGGGCCAAGCTAATCACTTGAGCAGCAGAAGAGACAGGAGAGGTAAAGCAGAAGTGGAAGTCAGAGAAGCAAAACCTGGGAAGGACTCAATGTAGCTGACTTTGAAATAGAGAAAATGGGCCATGAGCCAAGGAGCGCAGGCAGCTCTGGAAACCGGGAACTGTTGTTGGGTTGGGTTGGGTTGGGTTGGGTTTGGTTTTATCTCAGAGTATTTACATCCTGGTGATGAGCTGAGGCACACAGAGACAATCCATAAGGAAACAAGCACAGATGGCCTGTTACGGAGAAAAATAAAGCAGGGTGTGAAAGTGCCAGAAGCCGGGAGGACAGGTATAATTTTACGTAAGGTGGCATTTAAGCAGACACCTGAAAGAAGGATATCTGGATATTTGGAGGGAGATACAGTTCATTTCAAAGTTCTGCTCCATTTCTTTTTTTAAAAAATATTTTATTTAAATTCAATTAGCCAACATATAGCACATCATTAGTTTCAGATGTAGTGTTCAATAATATACCAGTTGCGTACAATACCCAGTGCTCATCACATCACGTGCCCTCCTTAAGGCCCATCATGTGCCCTTCTTAATGCCCATCACCCAATTTAATGATTCCTCAAATGTTTATTAAGCGCGCACTACGTACCCAGCACCAAATGCAAAAAGGAATGTGATCTAAGGCATGGTCTTAGATCTCCTCTGCCTTTGAGTTTCTAGACCAGAAGGGAAAGATTTGCAGTAAACAATTCTCTGAAGAGTTCAATGTGTTTGAGTGGAGGTCCATGGGAAAGAGGGAATACAGAGACAATCTGATCACTCATCTGAAAAAGCTTCAGAGAAAGTGTCACAGGAGCTGAGTCTACAAGGAAAGCAATTGTTTACCAGGAGCTGGGAAAGGGCATTCTGGGCTCCAGGGAGCAGTCTGCTGGAGGGCCAGGGGAGCTGTATGTGGGTCATTCAGCAAGGATGGGTGGAGTTCCGAGGGGATCGTCAGAGGGAGGGGGTTTGCATAGGAAGTCAGGGCCCCATATGAAAGTCCTTACATGCCATTCTAAGATTCATACCATGTTCTGTCTTTGATGAGGAGTTTCCAAAGGAGTTTAAGTGAGGTAGCAGGGTAGTAGAAATTACTGAGGCAACAAGAATGAAGACAAGATCGCAAGGAGTCCAAAAACAGAACCTAAGCAGAAACTTAGCTTGTATTCTCTCTAGATTAGTTAAAAGGATGAAACCAAACTTTGAGAGATAAATATTTAATTGCAATATTGAGGAGCTGCTACTTAGGAAAAAATATTGAAATTAGGTTTGACAGTTTCTCTTTTTTACACAAATCTGATCAAAGACACATTTAAATTGGCAATTACAAACAGTCCATGTCATCACCCTTACCGTGGCATCTAGAGTTACCAAAATGGAATTCTTGGCCCTTATGTTCTCCTTTGCTTGATGGATAGATTCTTCAACTTTGGATTCTTCAAGGAGAGATGAAAGCTAAACTCTATGGCACCCACAGAGAGTCATCTTTTTAAGTGCTTTTTCATATTGTAAATGTGTCTTTTCAGGAGGGGTTTGCTTTGTGTCTACAAAGGTGTTAAGCAGCAATGCATTTCACACTTGATAATTGGTTTTCTTTTGGCCTGACCTTCAATCTGCTACTTAGAGTAGATCTATACTTCCAATTGAAAGATATTAGAGACACAATTCTATTCGGGGTGGCAGTTAAGCTAATAATCCTTTCCATTAATCAACACACCAGAGCTTCATGGCAGAGATCACCCTTTGCAACTTTAACTCATTTGTGCTTTCTTGTATATTGTTTCTTTCTTAGAATGAGATCCTTTAAAAAGCCATAGCTGGGTGAAGCAAGTTGAGAAATGCATAACGTGTGATAGATGTGGATATTATTGATTCTTCCCACCCCTGCAGAAGAGAAGGTATGAAAATTCGTGAAACCACTGGCCACAGCCTCTTCCGAGGCCCTCCGCCTAATTTTGCACTTGTACTTTCCGATCCGTGAAGAAGGCCACCCCGTTGTTCATATGCAGACACTAGACAACATGAACTGTTGAACCTGTGTAAATCAGGCCACACCAGCCTGGGAGTAAGTCAGACCCAAAAGAGAGTTTTTCTGATTGCACGGCAGCTTGTTCTGCGGTCGTTTCAGTCCTCCTGAAATTCCTTCCAAATATTTCCAGAAAGTTCCAGGAGTATCTCATATGTTTCCCAAGCTAAATTCTCTTAGCAATGACAGTTGTCACTTTCCTCCTGCCTGTCTCTCTTCATAACAGAGAGGGGTCTTGCCACTGTTGACAGGAAGAGTTGCACTCAGCCATTGATACCAGGTCTTCTGCTGGTGCCCACCCTCCCCGAGTCAAAGCAATCCAGGCCAGCGCCGAGCAGGGAAACTCCTGCCTTGAGGGTACCATCTCCCTAACCTGTCACCATCTCCTGCGACTGGGGCTTTCTCTCTCACAACCCTTCTCCCTGCTCACCCTCGGTCTCAGCCTTGGTGCCATAGGGGCTGGCCTGGAAGACAGATGAGAGAGACATCAGGCTGTCCTTGAATCGGCTCTGCTCTTTCTTCCCCTACTGTGTGTTCTTTCTCAAGAGGACCTGTGGTCCTTCCAGTAACATACACTCTCAAAGATTCCACTCCACCAGGCTTATGTAGACATTCCCAAGGATGGAATGGTGGGAGAAAGGAAAGCCATGGGACAAGGGCATACCACCCACAGCAGTAATAGGCGTGGCAATGCGTGGGCTGGGAGCTTGGGCTCTAGACTCGGCTGTCTGAGCTCTGATCCTGAGGTGCTGTAAATAGCTCTGCAGCCTTCAGCAAATCAGGTGACATTTCTATGCCTCAGTTTCCTCATCTGTAAACCCGGCATAAAAATAACACTTACCATACGGGGTTGCTCTAAGGGCTAAAGGAATGGATGTATATAAAATGGTTGGGAAATGATGCTTTATGGAAAAGGTACAGGAATTTGGAACACTTAATTGAAGCACGGAATTAATTTCTATACTTAAATGGTCATCTTATTTGCTTAATAAAACTTTTTTTCTGGGGTAATAGCAACAGAAATCCATTGAAAAATTTTAAATATTCAGAAAGAGGCAGAGTGAAGAGAACCATGCACTTTCCCCTAGTCCCTGGCCAGTGAGATGGCTCCAGACACAAGGCTGCCATTGTTCGGGTACCCTTCTAGGGTGCACTGTATGTTTATGCAGTGCAGGTTTAACTTGTTAGCAGTCTCCAGGTTTAGAAAGGTGACTGCCAGGACAGTGATCAGCTCTGCTAGAACGTGCCCTTGGGGAACTGGCCATCTGGAGGAACAGCAGATAGACAACAAAGCACCAGGGAGCCTGGAGAAAGTGAAGTGGGGGCAAGCAGAAGGAATTCTGTCACGGACAGAAAAAAAAAACAGAAGTAATTCTGACAGGGGTAAAATAGCTAGTGGACAATGTCGCTGAGACTCAAAGCATGATTTGGATCCTCTTAGAGGTACATCTGGACTACAAATTTCATGCAGAATCTAATCCAAAAAGTGTAAACTTTGCAAAGAAACTTGAGGTAACCAGGATGATTTTGCTCTATAATGTTGGGTATGTGCCAATCATATTATTTTCTTTTTCTAAACTAAATTAAATTGACCTTTGAGCCTAGAGGATGATACCTGAGATCTGTCGTTGTCACAAGACCCCTCTTCACAGAATGCTTGACAAAACTCAAAAAAGACTTTCTGGTCTCCAGGCTGCCATGGCCCCTTGAGGAAGCTTTCTGTCCTAGCCCACTGGTCCATTTACATGGGGGCAGCCCTGCTCCCTCCAGGCCCTGGCCATGAGGATCTTGTTCAAGTACCCAGACAGGCTGAGGACTCAGTGCTCAGGACCCAGGCCTCCCCATCTGGGGTCCTCCCTGCACACAGAACCAGAGTACCCCCCAAACCTGCACACACACGAAACCCTCTTCCCCTTCCAGTGAAGAGTTGCCTCCCCAGTCTTGGCTCCTTCCAATCTGTTCTCCCCACTGTGGCCCAAATGACTTTTGTTGTTTTTGTCCGCTGTGTGTTTGCTCTTTACTAAAATTTACATCAATATAACCATGCTTTCAAAAAAACATTCATGTCATTTAATACAATGAAATTTATTTTAACTTACCCTGTGCAAATTTGAACCAAAAGTTGTCCATAACTTAAGTTTACAATAAATAAACAAGTTATTTTGTTTTTAAAAATCTATTATAATAGATTAAAACCTATGTTTTTTATGCTGCTAAAGCAGGCAGTAAGAACCATGAGAAATTTACCATTGGTTTACCTTTTTTAAAAAATGAGAAAAGAAAAACAAGTTCAAAAATTGGTGCAACAAAGCAATTTCGTCATGTGTCAGGGCCAGCTTATAATTTTTCAATAATTACCGTGTAATTTGGGAGTGTAAGAAGCTTGTTTGCACCCATGTATTAGTTTCCTAAGGCTGTCATAACAAATTACCACAGACTTGGTGGCTTAAAACAGCAGAAATGTATTCTCTCACAGTTCTGGAGTCCAGAAGTTTGAAATCAAGGTGTCAGCAGAAAAGCTCTAGGGGAGGCTCTTTCCTGACCTCCTTCAGCTTCTGGTACCTTCTGGCGTTTCCTGGCTTGTGGCAACCTAATCTCTGCCTCTGTCTTCACATGCTCTTATGTCTGTGTCTCTGTGTTCGAATCTCCCTTCCTTCCTCTTAAAAGACCCCAATCCCTGGATTTAAGGTCCACCTTAAACCCAGGATGATTTCATCTGGAGATCCTTACTTAGCTAATTACATCTGCAAAGATCCTATTTCCGATAAGGTCACATTCTGAGGGGCTGGGTAGACGTGAATGCTGGGAGGACACTCCTCAACCCTCCACAACCCATGAAACAACTTCGTTAGCTTGTGTATTTAGTTATGATTGCATGTCGAGTATAAACATACATAAACCAAGATCCAAGTAATTTCCTGAATCTGAGTTAGCAACTTCAGTTCATTCATCTGCTGAGATTAACAAGAGAATTCAACTTATTGGCTGTCAGTATTTCTGATTTTTATTTTTAAAAAGGGCATTTTTACCATACTTTCTCAAGTCCAGACAAGTAAATTAATTATAGCACTGATGAGAATACCTTCTGCATTCAAACGTGTGTCAAATAGCATGCCATGAAGTCGACCTGGGTTTCGGGTCATAAGCACAGAGTGCTCTAAAACAAACTTGGCTGTATCACACATCTAGTACACCCATCGATGATATGCTCATTGCTCACAGACAAAGACCTAACACTGAACGTGAACTTCCGTGGTCTGAGCCTTTTTCTGGCCAAATCCCTGGAAAGGCCTCCCCCTCCTTTCCAGGCCCCCTCACACCTGTGCTTTCACATCTATTTGAATGATTATCTAAATAATGTCGATGAGCCCAATGAAGATGGAGACGAAGTCTGTTTGCTGTTGTGTCTCCAGCATCCGACACAGAGTATGGCACGTAATTGATATTCAGTAGACTTACTTGTTGCATGAGTTAACAACTGAAACTCTGAACCTTGTCCATCCGTACTGTCTCATCCCGCTTTGCTAGGTGGTATCAATACGTACACTCCCAGCAGACCTGCAGTCAACGCAGAGCAAAATCCTTAGGTAATCAGCAGCCTCTGTTCCCTCTGAGAAAATGATCAACTTGAACAAAAGCCGAGGCTGGAGAAATGAGGACAAACACTACTTTCGCACAGTCAACAGAGATTTTCACAGCATGCTATCGCTTTTTCCCCTTTTGGAAAATTAGCAATCTCCTCTTGCGTGAGCAGGAGGGATGCCAGGGAGGGAATCAACCGGGAACTGGGCAGGGGACCCTATTGAGTAGCAGGATATGATATCAGTTGACAACTTGTGAGCCCATCCTCAGGGTCCCCCTGCCAGGTCGTATTTGAATTGGTCCCATCTTCCCCGAGAGCAGGTGCCCCTTTCTGCATGAGAAGCTGACAGCCTGGTGCCTCGAGGCTGCTTGCCAACTCCCAGCCAAGGCTTTGTTGGCCAAAGCACCAGGGAGTCTTGGTCTCTTAAAGCCAAGCGACCCGCTGTTTAAATTTATGTTGGCCTTCAACTGCCACAAAGGCAATCTGCTGAAGAGTTTATTTCAAGTTGAAATGAAAAGGAAGCATCTTAAATGAATCCAGCTGTTTGTTTCAGTTCTCATTTTTAACTAGTTGAGTCAAGCACATTGATCTTCACGGGGGAAGAGGGCTGCAGATGGATACAGCCTCCACTGATTTCCCTCCATTGATTTTGGGGGGAAAATTCAGTCACGTAACCAAGACGTCATTTCTGGGTAGGAGTCTCCATCTTTGGGATTTTAATCGGGAAATAATGAAGCCCTCCAGCTGACTGAGGAGGAATTAGGAAATGATTTTCCTTCTTCTCATGAGCAAGTGGTCCACTAGAAATGATGTAGAGAAACCCCTGAGGGTAGCTTCTGTGTTTTTAGGGACATCCTTCTAAATCGCTATCACAGCGCTTTCCCAAACTTGTTTATGTCACGGCACACATTAACAATGATGGTCTTTGCACAGCACACATTAATAAACAGATGGGGTCGTGTTTTAAGGGTAACTGAAGTAAAAAGAAAGTTCCTGATCATCATGGTAATTTTACTAATAATTAACTGAATTCTGCAGAAAATGAAGCAAATATAGACTTCGCTGGAAGCTAGGGAGCTACCCACTTCCCCACCTACCCTCTCACGGGTATCTACACCCACAACCACCACTAGCCAAGCTCTCCTGAATTACTGGCTGAATCTGCACTGGGGCTTGCAGCCGGGCCCGGCGGGCTGGGGGTGGGTCCCCCAGGGGAGACGATGGCCAATGAACTGCATGTAGACCAAAAGCCCGTAGGTGTCACACTGTACATCATGATTCTCACCCAGAAGTGATTTTGTTCCTTCCGCCCCCCAACCCGGGCCAGGGGACATGTGGCAATGTCTGGAGACATTTCGACTGTTGCCAGTTCTAGTGAGTAAGGCCAGACATCCTACCACGTGTAGACGAGCTCCCCACAAGGAAAAATCATCCAGTACAAATGGCCCTCATAAAAGGTTGAGAAACTCTGCCCTCGTCAACACGTAGCGAGCGGAGAGGGCTGTCCAACGGGAGAAAGTTCTGCTTCTGTGAATGCCCAGGTCTGGCCGGAGACCCTGCCGCGTTAAGAGCAAGTCTGCAAAGAAATGCGCATGTGCGACGCAGTCCGCGAGCGCTGCTCACACGGCGTGCGGAGGCTAACGCCGCGGGTAACGGTCTGGGCCTCTGCGCCGGTGACTCCGACGGCCCTGCAGACCACTTCCGCCAGGACCGGGGCACATCCGCCCTCAGAGCCCCAGGAGCACGCGGAAGTGCTGGGATGGCTGGGATCTGTTTGAAACCGCAGGCCTTCGCCATCTCAGGCCAGCAGACACTGAAGCTGGTTGTAAAGGGCATGTGTTCTGCTTTTCCCAGTTTTACGGAGATATAATTGACACTGTGGCAGTTGAAGGTATAGAACGTGCTGATGTGATATCTGTGTATACTGCAGAATGGCCACCCCAGTGTGCATAGTCTAGTTAACATCCATCACCGCACATGGTTACACACTTCCTCCCCTTGTGGTGAGAACTTGTAAAATCTACTCTCAACAACTTTCGACTGTAAATACAGTATCGTTAACTCTAGTCTGCTTGTTGTACACTGTATCTCCAGGACTAACTTACCTTTTTTTTTTTTTAAATATTTTATTTATTTATTTACTTGAGAGAGAGAATGAGAGACAGAGAGCATGAGAGGGAAGAGGGCAGAGGGAGAAGCAGACCCCCCTGCCGAGCAGGGAGCCCGAGGCGGGACTCGATCCCGGGACTCCAGGATCATGACCTGAGCCGAAGGCAGTCGCTTAACCAACTGAGCCACCCAGGCGCCCGGACTAACTTACCTTATAACTGGAAGTTGGTACCTTTTGACCACTTCCAACCATTTCTCCCGCCCACCCCCCACCTCTGGCAACCATCAATCTGTTCTCTGTTTATATGAGTTTGGTTTTTTTAGATTGCACGTTTAAATGAGATAATACAATATCTGTCTTAAGAACAGGTATGCTTTATTCTGGCTTATAACCTAGTATTTGTTCCGTGCTGGTTAATACTTCTGAAGAACACTATGAAATGCCTTGCTTTCAGAGTGAAGAGATAATGGCCTCAAAATACATTTGTAGAAGAAAACCCTCGCTAAATTCACTATTTGTATTTTCTATACACTAAATGTATTTTCACAGGGAAAAGCAAAAGCATTCAGTTAGCCTTACAACTTCCAAATCTAAATCTCCAACTCCAACTGACCCCCTGTGTATCTTCTGGGTACTTCTGTCCATCTGGAGCCCTGTCTTGGGGTTAGCAAATTCCCAGCCAGGCCCCACCCTGCCAGGGGCAACCAAGGCACTCAGGATTGCTAGATTAGGCCCCTCCCTCTGCTTAAGCCTGCCACCATGCACCAAGGTTTTGATAGAACTACTCAGGACAGGGCTGGGTGAGCTGGGGTGTGAAGGGAAATCTGCCTTCCCATCTAAACACAAATGGAGGCAGAAGACCTTCTGTTGTTGGGCCTGCCCATATCCCTTCCCCTTGAATTTACACCTGAGAAGGTGAAAAAAGAAAACTAAAACTCTGCTCCTGCCCTTTTCCTCCCCTTTCATTCCCTGTGTTTACCCCTCAGGCCAGAAGTTTCTGTCTGCATTTTTACTTCCCTGTCTTGTGGGTAGGTTCTTCCTTTACTAGGCTGGTGGCCCGGAAAATAGGCTGTGGCCCTTCCTTTTTCTTCCCTGCTCCAACCTGAAGGCTAAACAGAATGATGTCTGGAGAGCAGGAGAGGGACCCCATACGAGAACTTAAGAAGAGAGACAATCTTTAGCATTATACCATTAGATGATATATGACATTGCTTCTTTACAACTGAGAAAACGAGGGTCAAAAGGACATAGTTACAGAGTTAGTGGGTGGTGGAGGCAGGATTCAAACTCAGTTGTCTCGCAGGTAAGAGCTATGGAAAAACACAGTGGGAGACTCCGAGTCCACCTCTCATTAGCTCTGTGATTTCTTTGTGCCTCAGTTTCCTTATCTATAAAATGTTGGTGATGACAATAGTACCTCTTTCCCGGGAATGTTACAAAGATCAACGGAGTCAATATACGGCAGTATAATGCAGGAGACAAATGTCAGGAGGAATTATTGTGATAAATGCTGCACCCACCACGTTGGTGATGAGTTCACTCTTGCACACAGGTGTTGCTGGGGTTCTGTTCCTCCATTGTTTTCAGAAATTAGGCTACCTAATGAACAGCTCCATCAGCTGTATGAGTGATTAATCTCTGAAATCATTATCTAAAGAGATATTACTATTACATCTCTACCTTTTAGATTCCAGACTAAGTGTTTGTTCAAAAGCATAATCTCATTCCCAAGAGCTGCAGGTTGGACTGGTTTAGTCCCTGCAATTACTCCTAAAAGCATATTTCATGAAAATGTATTTGTGAGTATAGTGTGAGTTTTCTTTAGAGGAGGTTTACTTTCCAATTAGGCTTGATTTAGTCTATTATTAACAGAATTGTATATTATCCTAGCGCATGTCATCACCCATCTTCTCTGGGAAAACTGTGCTAGTAATCTCATTATTATTCCTTTCTCTCTTTCTGTATTTATCATGTATGCTACACAGTTAATACTCAGGTCATTGGCTCTACCTCCCACAGTGGACACGTGATGAGCCCCCCCCTCCCCTTCTGCCAACACTTCAACAGTTAATAGGACACTTCTTCACTAAGGGGAGTGCTGTTCAGGTGGTTAGGATGGGACTGAATCTCCAACAAACCAGATCCCCTCACAACAGTGACTGACTCAGGGACAGGCACATGGCAGAGCCTGGGGAATAAGGGTCTTCCCAAGGACTTTTCTGCAAGAGCTTTCCAGGGAAACATCTTCAGGGGGTTCCTAAACAGTAGGTGTGAGCCTTGATTTCTGGCAGCCATCTTGCCAATGATCTGGGGAACACCTGCCAAGGAATGAATCCAAACAGAGACATAGTGAGATAGAAAGAGTGAACAAGAGCCCTGACAATATCTGAACTCAAAACCTGGCCAGTCTTAAAGCCTGCTACATCCCAGTTATGTTTCAATAAATTCCTCCTCTACCTCTAATTTATTTATTTTGTTATGGTTTGAGTTGGGTGTCTGTCACTTGCAATAAAGGCATCCTAATTTGCAGCCCAACTGAACATTTGATTTTTATCTCTGTGAAAGTGAAGCACTTCATAAGTCTAGTGTCTGATGCCACAGACATATACTAGTCCCCTCCATCCATGATTTCACTTTCTACTTTCAGATACCTATGGTCAATGGAAGACTTATCGTCATAAGGTCAGCAGTAGCCTAACACTACTTACCGCTGCCTACATCATGTAGACATTTTATCATCTTACATCATCACAAGAAGAGGAAGGGTGAGTACAGAACAATAAGATATTTTGAGAGAGAGACCACATTCACATAACTTTCATTACAGTATATTGCTATAGTTGTTCTATTTATTATGAGTTATTATTAATCTCTTACTGTGTTTAATTTACAAATTAAACTTTATCATAGGTATGTATGTATCAGAAAAAACATAGTATATATAGGGTTTGGTACTATCTGCAGTTTCAGGCATCCACTGGGGGTCTTGGAATGTATCCCCCATGGATAAGGGGAGAAAACTGAACCTTCACTCAATAGGATATCATCAGTGAGATAATCTCAATGGTTGAGGGCCCACAGACTCAATGCCTGTTGAAGAAGAGTCAAAGCCCAGGGCATGGTTATTAACTACCCCCCCCCCCCATCTCTTCTTTCTTTAACTCTTTCGTGGAGGCTGCTGACCTTGGTTTCCTCTTGGATTTCAAGTATTATCCTGCATTTTTTCAGTACAGTGGAACCAGGATTCCTGGAGCCTTATGTGATATTAAAAACCAGTTGTCTCTTAGCTTCTTTATCTTCATCTATCAAGTCAAAGTGATGGACTAATCTTGGAAAATCACTGTTGCTCTTATGAAATCACTATGATTCTTATGTCTTAGTTGTTCCCTGCATTTGTCTCATCCTCCCACATAAATCATAAGCTCTTTCTGTACAGAAATAAGACTTTAAACTTCTTTTGTGTCCTCAGCATGTTTGGTTTATATCACTCAGAATATTTCGGTTGGCCAGATGCAAATGTTTTTGAAATTTTTTTTTTATTATTAATAAAGCAATTGAAAATAGAGCGGTGAGAAAGTAGAGTGGTTTTTTATTGCTCTTGAAGAAAAGGGGGTTGAAGAACTCAGAAACTTCCAGTTATTAGAATAAAATCTCCCAGACTGGTACCAATAGTTGGAGCAGAGATTCCATCAAAAATATAAAAGCTTAAACCACAGAATAATAATTTCTTAGCACAAGATTACTCAATATACATTTTTTTAACATTAGTTGTCCTCATTATAGAGTTAGTAACAATTCTTTTAAGTTCTGGAAATCAGTTTAAAAAGAAAAGAGAGGCACCTCTTAAGCTTAAGCATCTGCCTTTGACTCAGGTCATGATCTCAGGGTCCTAGGATTGAGCCGGGAGTCCAGGCTCCCTGCTGAGGGAGTCCAGGGAATCTGCTTCTCCTTCTCCCTCTCCCTCACCCCTCCCTCTCCTTCTCTCACGTGCACGCACACACATGCCCTCTCTTCTCAAATAAATAAGTCAAATCTTTTTTTTAAAAAAAGAAAGAAAAGAAAAGAAAAATCTTTTGTAATAATTTCATGCAGAAAAAAATGAGTATTACAATTTGATCTATCATTTTCAATCTTTTTGGGAGGGACTACTATTTTTTTCCATCCCCAAATAGGGAACAAATGGTATGCCCTACAATTTTTTTCACTTAATATTATGAACACTTCTTCACACCATGATTTTTGAAATCATTTTTGATGGTTACAAAATATCCCACCCTGGAGGCAGACTATAGTTTATTTGCTTTTCCCCACCTTTGAGAGACATTTAAAGTCATTTCTGATTTTTCTTATTGTAGATAACACTTCAGTGAACATTCTAGTATATAAATCTTTGTGTGCACCCTCTTTTATTTCCTTAGTTGGCATTAATTAATTAAATCATAACTTAATAATTATGATTGTGATGTAAGATAATGAATTCATTAATTGACTCGTGGAAAACATTGAGATATTTAACGACCAAAGTTCTTGAAGAGGGTTTCCCAGCAAATGCTGAAGCAGTTTCGATGCTGCTTCTTGTAGGGACCCTCACTTAAAGCCGAGTGTAGAGCATGAATGTGCAATTTCGCCAACGTGATTTGGAGAGAGGCCTTGGTGCTGAAGTCCATGCTGTAGAATCTGCTGGAAATATCCTCAGGATTCAATCTCAGGATGACCCTGATGCTCAGAAGTGCGCTGTCCACCCAGCATTCACCGTCACAAGAGCTTCACCATCTGATGTTATTATCATGTGACATTAATAAATTATTTCACCCCCACACCTTGCTGCACAATTTACCAGGTGCTTTCACACGCACTATGTGATTCCTACAGCACACATCATATCAGGAATATTTCATCTCATTCCTAGGTGAAGTAAATGAGGATCAGCATTCTCTCTCAGAAAAATAAATCTGTCAAACCCCATTCTCTCTTTTTGTAAGTCTCTGTGATGGGACATTGTATTACGTGTACTTTGACCTTTGCAGTGAAATCCTCCATGGTAGAAGCACTCCTCAGCATGTGGCCTAAGATCCCTCCCGAGCTGACCCCAGCCTTCCTCTCTACCCTCTTCTCTCACCTCATCTTCTTCTCGTCTCCTGACCCATCGTGCCCTGCATACCTCCCCGTGGGCCCTTCCCCATCCTTTGAGGCCTCTCCTTTCATTGCCTGATAAACTACTCTCATCCTCATAGACTGTTTCAAATGGTACCTTTTCAAGAGACTCTTGAACTCTTGAAGGTACAGGTTTTTCACTGAGAGTCCAGGGCCCTGTATTCCAACACTTACTGCCTCATCTTTGTATTGTGTTTGATTACATGTGCTTTTCTCCAACTACATGAAACCCCCTTCAGGAAAAAATCATTTCTTATTTATCTCTGTAGTCCCAGTACCTGGCATACTGCCTGGCACAGGGTAGGGGCCTTGATGGTTGAATGAGTTTGGGGACTGGGCCTCAGAGGCTCAGTTTGCACTAACGGTGTCTAGGGATCCAATGGGAGCTCCCAGACCACCACAAGAATAAAAACATTTGGAGAAAAGCAGGAATGTACAAAAACAAGCATCTGACTTCTGTTGGTACGTTCCTGCCCTCCGTCACCAGTTTTATAATTTGAAGCAAAGCTGAATTTTTATAAAGGGAATTCTTAAAGGAATAAAGAAAAAAGCTGAAAGTATTGAAGAATAATTTTACATGGTGTGTGGTAGAAAGAGTCCTGGGCAGGAAGCCATGATGCTTGGTTTTCGTCTTGATTCGGCCACTGGCTGGCAATTAATGAATTAACTGGCAAACGCAATACCCTTCCTAGGCTTGGCTTCATCATCTAAGAACAAAGAGACCAGGTTAGGTGACTCTGACATGCTCCCAAGTCTATCAATTAACGGTGAAAAACACTCTGATGTGTGCCACATAAAATTGATTCATTTGCATTATTTTATGATTTGCTTTTCTCATAATTTTTTCACTGTCAATTTTTGCCAAAATTAACTAATGCAGATTTGTTCAAGGTTTTTTCCTATATCTGAGAGGAAAACAAAGTATTGTTTCTCAAAATCTCCTTCTGAATTCTCTAAAGGCATTTCCCTCTGCCCAGGCCGGGAGCTGAGATGTGTGTGAAATGGATCAGATGTGGCTTGAGTTCAGAGGTGCTCCTCCTCAGACGAGGATTGCACAAGCAATCCCTCAGGCAGTAGTCACCTTTTCCCCTGGATTTTAGCCAGACTTGCCCACCTAGTATATTGTAACAGAGTCACGCTGCCGGCCACGTTAGCTTGGGAGCTGCCCAGGATATTGATCTATAAATGACCTTAAATCATCACAGAATCCACGTAAACACGCAGTGCCAATCACCTCAGCCTCCACACATCCCTCCCTGAATACCTGACGAAGTGAAAATCGGCTCCGTCAGGACTGAAGTGGACAAGTGCATTTATGTGAGGAAAAGGAAAATCACACACCCAGTATTTTTGCACGGTATCCGAGACGCACCGTGGGCCCCACCATCACACCAAGCCAGCCCGACAGGTAAGTGAGGTCAGCCGAGCTAGATGGCTGAACTTCTAAAAGGTAATAGTATGCGATGTTGTACCATTCATGGAAATGAAGCACTCGTATTCATATTCCAATTGGGGGCAATTTACTATGCCCCAGGTAGTTGCCTGGCTTGGAAGAATTGCTTAGAACCCTGACTGAGTTTCCAGCCTGCAGATTTTAGACTCGAGACTGCAATCCCAACTCTGTGAATTTCCAACATGCCGGCTGGCTTTGCAGATTTCAGACGTGTCAGCTTCCACATTAGCGCTAGCCGATTCCTGAAAATAAATCTCTCTCTCCCTGATCTCTCTCTCTCCTTCTCATATATATATGGATATTTATATATGTGATTATATATAAATATACATATATATAATGTGTTTTATATATAATGTATAAATATAATGTTTATGTAGATATAATGTGTGTATATATATATATAATGTGTGCATATATATGTGAAGTGCTGTGAGAGAGATATATATACATATATATATATACATACACACACACACATACACGGTGTATGTGTGCATCCTTTTGGTTCTGTTTCTCTGGAGAACCCTAGATACACTATAACTCTACCCAATTCAATTTGAACTAATACTCAAAGAGTGCCTACCTGCTGGGACGTTAAGGCAGACCCTATACCAGTGGAGGAGTGTGGGGTACAGGGTGGAGAAGGCAAGATTTCAAAGCAGCAACTCCGCTTGAGGATCAGGGACCAAGGTGAATTTTCTTGAGAAGACGTAGCTCCTAGGTACAGCCCACAGGCAACAAGGTAATCCATACATCTACGCTCAACAAACAGTTACAGTCCTTGCTGAGTACTTTTCCAAGGCCAGACACAGTTCTAAGGTCTTTACATATAATAAATCATCCATCAGGACAGCAACCCTAATGGGGTGATTGGATAACACAGATGAGGAAAGTGAGCCTCAAGGCACCCAAGTAAATGGCCACCTAATTGTGGACCCAGGGTCTAGACCTATGCTGCCTGACTCCAGAAATTAGCCTCTTAACCATGATGCTAAAACCATCTCCCTAGAAAGAAAAAAACAGTATCTGCTGAAAAATCAACTGAAGGGAAAATACACATTTTAAGTGCAAAGAAATTAGAACACTTAATGGATCTTCCGGTGTTTGGGGTCAAACTCCACTAATCTTATCCAAAGGCTTTTGCATTCCAGGCTGTAGTGCTCATGGGCTTCTCATTGGTTGAGACGGGTCAGGGCTACAGAAGAAGAAAGAGGATAACATATACTGAGCGCTTGCTGTGTGCTAAGTGCTTTATATATATATTTTCTCATTAAATCCTGAGGATAATTTCCTGGGGCTGGGGGAGGCATATTATTACCCCATTTCTCAGATGAGAAATCTGAAATTCAAAGGAGATTCCATAATTTGCTCCAGGATGAATGTGTTGGAGTAGCAGATTCCAGGTTCAAACCCAAGTCCCTCTGACTTTTGTTTACACATTCTCTAAACACTACATCGCCACCCTCCTATAAACAAAGTGTGCAAAAGGGCACAGTCCACCATTTCCTAGTTGTGGTAAATTCAGAAGTCTGACTACGACTTGGTGTGGATTTCTTTAGCCTGTCTGAAGTTTACTCAGCTTCTGGAATCGATGGATTTATGTCTTTTGCCAAATTTGGGGACATTTCAGCCATTATTTCTGAGTACTTTTCTGACCTTACTCTTTCTCCTCTTCTTCCAGACTTTCAAGGGAACAAATGTTAAGTCTTTTGTTAGAGTCCCACAGGTCCCCGTGGGATATTTTATTTGTTTTTTGCCAGGCTGTTTTTTCTCTGTTGCTCAGATTAGGTAATTTCTATTCTTCTGTCTTCCAGTTCATATGATTCTTTCCTCTGTCCCCTCCTCTGATGAAGTCATCTGCTGAGTTTTTTTGTTTTGTTGATTATAGTTCTCAGTTCTATAGTTGCCAGCTGGTTCTTCTTTATACCTTCTCATGCTTTGCTGAGCCCTTTTATATCTTTGCTGAGACTTTTTTTTTTCATTTGTTTCAAGTGTATTCATAATCTTCCACTGAAACATTTTTATGATGCTACATTACAGTTTTTGTCAGTAATTCTAAAATTCCTGACACCTTGATGTTGGCATTTTTAACAGGGCAAATTGTGTCCCCCTCGAATTCATTTGGTGAGGTTCCAACCTCCAAAACTTCAGAAAATAACTGTATTTGGAAACAGAACCTTTCAGGGGGTAATTAAGGTTAAATGGGGTCATATGAGTGGGCTCTGAACTACGTGACTCTTTAGACATGGAGCCTTCAAAGCGGTGATTAAGTCAAAATAAGACCGATAGGATGGGGCCCTAATCCAATATATGGTGTCCTGATAAGAGGAGGAAGAGCTAGTAGGGATGTGCATGCACAGAGGAAAGGCTGTATGAGGACAAGTGAGAAGGTATCCACCTGCAGGCCAAGGAGAGAACCCTCAGGAAAAACCAAAACTGCCCATTATCAGCCTCCAGAACCTTGAGCAATGAATTCTGGTTGTGTGAGTGCCCCCGCCCCCGCTCTCCGGCATTTTGTCATGGCAGCACTACCAAACTAATACAGCGTCTATTGTCTTTTTTCATTAAGTTTGAGATCTCCCTGATTCTTGGTATAATACGTGAATAACGATTAAACCATATACATTTTAGATACTGTTAGGAGACTCTAGGCCCTACTTAGACTTTCTGTGTGAGCTGGCCTTCATGAGACACCACTGCAGCATCACCTCGTTCCCGCCAGCTGGGGGCAAGTCCAAGTTATCCATTTGGCCTCCACGGACACCTGAGGAGGCTCTTCTCTACTCCCGGCCAGGGCCGGGAGATCCAGCTGCCCCCTAGGTCTCCACTAGGTCTTCCCTAGTTGGCAGGGTCAGAGTGCCTTGTTACTGCTCCCCAGGTGGCTTTACTGTACCACAGGGGAAGGGGTGGTCTTGTTATCACTGGGTGGTGGTAAAGGCCTGCTTCTTCCTAGGCCCTCCTCTGCCATCAGTCTAATGGGAAGAGTATGGGATGCCTCTTCTCTGCTAGTTCGGGGTGGAAGATTGGGCTCTCACATGGTCTTCACAGATACCAGGGGAGGAGCGGTTCTTGCTACCGCCCAGTGGGGATGAACGCTCTGGTGCCCTAATCAGCATTTTCTGACACCACCTTGGTCGGGGTTTGGGGTGTCGAGCCCAATAAAGGTGGGAGTCTAGACTCCCCACTCCAACTGTTGGATGGGTGGGGGTGATGCCGTAACACAGCAATTATTGCCTAAACGTTTTCTGTTTTGCTGGGCTGCTCCTTTCCTGGTTCTTTGGCTAGAGAGGGCAGGCTTTTGTCAGGGTTTTGTTGTTGTTGTTGTGTGTTTTTTTTGGGGGGGGGATTGGGTGGGGTTTTTTTGTGGGTTTTTTTGGTCTATATTCATGGCCATTCTGGGGCGATGGCTTCTTCAGCTCCTGGTCTGGGGTATATTAAGCTAAAAGAAAACTCCAAGAACTCACCACTGTATGTATCATTCCTTACATTCTGAGATCTCAAGGAAGTCTGCTTCCTTCTCTTCGCCTCTCGGGAAGAGGTTTTTCCCAAGAGTCAAGTAGTTCAGAGCCCACTCATATGTTTTATAGATAATGTCCAGAGCTTTTAGGTGCACTGATCAGGAGGAATGGGGGGAAATGTGTGTATTCCATCCTCTTGGAAGCAGAAGCTTTGACCCATTTTGAGCATTCGAAAAGCTGATTTGTCAAACCATTTTATAAATAACCTTAAGTTGAAGAATAGTTACCACACATTTTCAACCCCTTGGTGGGCATTTTCACATAATTTAGTCTCAGCCTAACACCATCTTTTTGGATCTCTCTCTCCCTTCCCCTTTTCAGTTAGAGCAAACCCAACAAACTGTCTTGCCCACCCTTCCCCGAAATCTCTGGTGTGCTACACCCAGATCTGCAGACTGTGTCCAGGTAAAATCTTCCTTTACCCTGAGCAGAGGGAAGGCTGCTGAAATATTATTATCCTGTTGTTTATTAAGTGACCCTAAGTCACAGATTATGATTATTTCAGGCTCATTTCATATTATCTTCTACATTGTGTCCAGTTTAGAAGAAGCCACTGTACGCTTTTAAAAGATCAGCCCCTCAAAGTCATCTTTGGAAAAGTAGCAACAGAATGAGGTAAGGGGCTTCAGATTTGTGCTCAGTGCCTTCTTTGCTTAAGTACTATAATTGAACTAATGGATTAAACTTTGAAATCTTCAGTAATACATCTTGCTACTGAAAATAATGGCTATTAGTACCTTTTAATTTATTTGTAACATATTTAATATATTTTTACTCTAAAATAAGTGGAGAATCTAGGATAACAATAATTAAATCTACAGTCTAATCTTCTGAATTGTATATATATATATATATATACACATACAGTATAATAATTCTCCATCATTTATGTGTACCACAAGGGTTATCTTATTTTAAAATATATATATATATACACATACAGTATAATAATTCTCCATCATTTATGTGTACCACAAGGGTTATCTTATTTTAAAAATAACAAATTCAGAAAGATGTGTTCGGTGAAACTAAAAAAATCTATATTCAAGTCCTCACATTTGGGCACTTTCATAAGAAAAACACTTTGGAATTCTTACATGAAAAAATCAAATGAGAGTTTAAAAAAAAAAAAAACAGGTGGAAAACAAACAAACGAACAAACAAAAAAAATCTCTTTAAAAAGAGTTGAGGTAAGGGGCTCCTGGGTGGCTCAGTCATTAAGCGTCTGCCTTCGGCTCAGGTCATGGTCCCGGGGTCCTGGGATCGAGTCCCGCATCGGGCTCCCTGCTCCGCGGGAAGCCTGCTTCTC